TGAACTATGTTGTAAAGAGGGCTAGGGAGGGGAGAATAATTTGTGTTGTTGTTGTTAGCTCCATGCCATTAGAATAGAGATAGGCAAAGTAGAGTCTTCCCTGTGTTGCTGGATTGCAACCTCCAACATCCTTGACTGGTAAAGCCAATAGTGGGGGATGCTGGAAGTAACTCTGCACTGGAAGTTTCATCTGCTAACTTTTGTGGTTCAAATTTGGAAGAGGAAAAGTCCCAACCAGTTTGCTGCACAAGGGAAAGGGCCATTGTTCAATAATATAGGGTCTGTTTTGTGTGCAAACAACCTCAAGTTTAGTCCTTAGCATCTCTTCTTTGAAAAGGAGAAGATAACCAGTGGTGGGAATGACTCTGAGTGAGACTCTGGGGAGAGTAAACTATCCTGGATATAGATAGGCCAGCAGTATAGCATGCTATAAGCCAAGTTTATATGTATCTTCAATTTGGAAAAGCTTAACCTGTTGAAGCCAGGAAAGAACCAAAAATGGCAGCCCTCACTACACGCTGCTGCATGCTGCTGTCTGTGCTCCTTGCCATCATCTTTTTGTGGCCTCCTCTTCCCAGTCAATGTTACTCTGCAGGAATTCCAGATGAGGCTGCCTAAGAGGGAAGCAGCTGGGGCTAATATACCCTAAACCTGACCAGAGTGAAAATTCCACTTTCATCCCAGTTGGGTTCATCAGCCGATGGGATCCAAGCAGGAGCCTGAAGCCCACCTCCCAAACAAGGTGCTCTGCTGAATCCAGAGAAACAGAATCTGTGAGATGGCAAGATGGGGCTGCACTGTTTTCTATTCCTGCTCCAGACTGTAAAAACAGCCACACTGTAAGTCCTTCAGCACTATTTGTGGATGAAACCTTTAGCCGACCATTGATCCCAGTATTTGACTTGCCCATCATGAGGTATGTTTCACAAATGCCTATGTGACTTTCAAGGGTGTCACATAAATCAGTTCATCCTTGAGTCTTCCAAGCTAAAATACCATGTGGATTTGCCGTCAAGGACTCTTGCATAGTGTAGTGATTTGAGCATTGAACTATGACTCTGGAGGCCAGGTTTTGATTCCGTGCTCAGCCATGTGAACCCACTGGGTGACCTTGGGTGAGTCACACACTCTCAGCCACAGAAAACATTGTGATAGGTGTTTTCATCTAAATACTAACTAGTCTGGCCCAGTTTAGCTTCCAAAATCAGGCAAAATCCAGTATGTTCAGGATGGTATGGTTGAATCTGTAAAGAATGTGTTCAGAGGAGGGTGACTAAAATGGTGAGAGGTGTGGAAGCCATGCCCTACAAGGAGAGGCTTAGGGAATTGGGTTTCCTGAACTTGGAGAAGGGAAGGTTAAGAGGTGACATGATAGCCATGTTTAAATATTTGAAGGGATGCTATATTGAAAATGGAGCAAGTTTGTTTTCTGCAGCTCCAGAGAATAGGACCTGGAGCAACGGATTCAAAATGCAGGAAGAAATTCCACCTAAACATTATGAAGAACCTCCTGATAGTAAGAGCTATCTGACAGTAGAATATACTCTTTTGGAGGGTGGTTGTTTCTCCTTCTTTGGAGATTTTTAAATGGAGGCTGGATGGCCATCTGTGTATTCTTGCATGTTGGATTTGATGGCCCTTGAGGTCTCTTCCAACTCTAGGATTCTGTAGCTACAGCACGATGTTTGTAGAATGATCTATAGCCATATTCACAAACCTATGGCATGCATGCCAGAGATGGCACACATGCCAGAGACTGCACTCAAAGCCATTTTCCCTGGCACCTGTTCCTCCTCCTTCTGGCTGTCCCAGGCCTTCAGCTGCCTCCGGAGAGGCAGCTGAAAGCCCAGGAAGGTCCAGAGAGGCAGCTGACAGCCCAGGAAGGTATAGGAAGGATGCAGTCCCACCCTGGAAGTCCTGCTCGCATAGGGTGGAAGTCCCACCTCAAAAGTCCCATTCCCCTGGAAGTCCTGCCTCTGGAACGGGGTAACACCCGGTGCCAGGAGGCTGTTTAGTTTGGGCACTCAGTGCCTAAAAGGTTCACTATCACTGATCTATAGAATGTGATACTTTTGTTCAGAGGCCATTGATTCAGATTAGAATGGATGGTCAGAAATCTCCCCTTAATGTGGGTTGGCTGCTTTGCAGATTTAACAATCTGTTCAAACACTGGCTGGAGAACCCTGATGTCAGAGACTTTACTCATTGTTATTTTAAAGCTGGCATTAATTCTTACATGATTATGGAATCTGAAATGTGGCCTTGTTTCTATTGAAAATGCAGGAGTTTACTGTAAATTGAAAATTAATTTCCAATTTTATTTATTCAAATGACTTTTTAAAAAAATACAGCCTAGGTTAAATGAAGAGTCAGAAGGAATTGTATTCAAATACTTGCCAAACTGTGTTTAAAAATGTTGTACCTACAACTTTAAACATTCACATGGGATCCATGAAGATAATCATCCTCTTTGACTATCTGTCCTATTTAATTCTCTAAAGCAGCTATCAAGGGAATATTTCATGTATGATTGATCTACTTCAGAACTAGTATTCAATCCGCTTCATTTTCTTCCCTCTTGATTTTTATATTTATATATATATATGAGAACAGTTTCCTAGGACATTCTCTAGGTCTCAGTGAAAATAAGGGTTGACCCCCTGCTTTTCTGCACTGTGAGCCTGCTAGCCTTACAGATAATAGCAATCCAGAATACAACATAAATCCCTTCAGACAAGTTTCATTGACAACACAGTCAACAAAACCTTGGATTGCTACCAGGTTTCAAGAATACTGATCCCTAAAACAAGATTTAAACCTTGCTGGCAGGCTCCTCAGCCTGAATTGCCTCCATCTCATGCGTTTCCTGGGTCTGGAGCTCTTTACGTTTTTAAGATAGCTAGAGAAACAAATGCACTTGAACACATTCAGAGCAACATTTTCTCCTAATAAGCAGAGGCGGGGAATGTGGGGGCTTCCAGAAGCTGAACTACAGGTCCCAATATCTTTCATCATGGTGGCCCAGGCTGATGGGAATTGCAGATCAACATATCCAAATAACTACATGTTCCCCATCTTAGTCTTACAATCTTGTACTTCTATGTGTAAGTTACAGGGGCAGGAAGATTTAGAGACCAGATTTAGAGACCAGATGTCCCCAAGACTATATCTATGTATTTCATTTTTCCGCCCCAAGTGCAGTACCTTACATTTCTCCATGTTGAAATTCATTTTGTTAGCTTTGGCCCAGCTTTCTAATCTATCCAGGTCTTCTTGAATTTTGATCCTGTCCTGTGGGGTATTAGCTACTCCTCCTAATTTGGTGTCATCTGCAAATTTGATAAGTATGCCTTCTATTCCTTCATCCAAGTCACTGATAAAGATGTTGAATAGCACTGGGCCCAGGACAGATCCCTGTGGCATCCCACTGGTCACTTCTTTCCAGGATGAAGAAGTGGAGCCATTGCTGAGCACCCTTTGGGTTCGGCTGGTCAATCAATTACAAATCCATATAACCGTTGCCTTGTCTAGACCACATTTTGCAAGCTTGTTTGCAAGAATCTCGTAGAGAACCCTGTCAAAGGCCTTACTGAAATCAAGATATGTTATATCTACAGTACTTCCTTTGCCTACCAAGCTGGTAATTTTATCAAAAGGAGTGTTTAAACTATAATTTCAGGCCTGGATCTTGAGTGCCTTTTAGATGTTTGGGACTACAGTTCCCACTAGCCCCAGCACAATGGCCAGTCACTAGGCAGTATAGGATAGTGGAAGTTATAGCACAACAATGTCTGGAGGGCACCATGTTAAAGGCAGCTGATGCAGAAAAGCAGCAAGAAGTTTGGAGATCAACATGTCTTCCAGTGTCTGCAAGAACTCTTAAATTTACCTTATTGCACTACAGCTCTCAGAATCCCCTAGCCAACATATCCCATGGTTGAGCTGTTTGGGAAGATCTTGCAATGATAGTATAAAATTTAATTTTTCAGGCTGTGAAAACTGCTGTAGAACCTCCCAAGTTCCACCAATATATGTATTACGGGAGTGTGTCTACTCATCCCTATGGAGAATAACGTCATAGACTCACCTTTGCATGCAAACCACATTACAGGTTCTTGGTGCTTTCAAGAAATCTTACAACTGAAAAAAAATCTCCTGTAATAGTGATGAAGAAGAGAGAATTGTAGCAGTTCCAGCTTCCTTCCCAATCTGGCAGCATGGTGCTGGAACAAATAGTACTTGCTGAAATCCCCTGCTTCTAACAACTACAAGGAATTATCCTCTACTACTGTGTCTGAGAACTTTATAAGAAGATATTTTAAATAAGGATGTAAATATTGATTATTGCGCTTCTGTTCCCTCCTGTTAAAATGTCCCTTCAGAGACCATTCTGCATCTTAATATGTATAAAAAAGTAAATAAATAAATTGCCTAAAAGCCTTGTAAATATTGAGGTTTTTTAAAAAACAATATTTAGTAGCATGGTGTTTAATTTTTAGAGCTTGGCTCTGAGAAATGCCCCCAAGCCAGGGTGAGCTAAGGGTTACAATATTGGACTGGGGATTCTGGTTCTACTCCCCAGGGGACATGAAATTCACAGGGGGATCTTGGGGTAATCCCTTTCGCTCTCTCTGACTATTATCCCGTAGGGTTGTGATGAGTATAAAATGGGAATGCATGCATACCTCATGCTGGATAGCAAGGTAAGTAATAATTAAAACATTAGGATCATTTTTATGTTCCCAAGGGAGCATGCACCTACAGTTGCAAGATACTCCCAAATCTGTTAGTGACTGATGCATATGCTAATCCAGCCTTTTGAAGGTTCATGAACAGTGTTGCAACTATCCGTTTCTGTTTCCCATTTTACTCTGATGCTGCAACTATGTGACTGTATATATACACCGGAAGCCTGAATACTGTACTCCACCAACACACTGGAAAAATGTAATCCATGAAAGCTCATACTAAAGTAAACCTGCTAGTCTTGAAAGTAGAGAGCCAATGTGGCACAGTGGTTTGAGTGTTGGACTATGACTCCGGAGACCAGAGTTCGATTCCAAGGTTGGACCTTGGAAAAGTCACACGCTCTCAGCCTCAGGGGAAAGCAATGGCAAGCCTCCTCTGAACAAATCTTGCCAAGAAAACCCCATGATAGTATCGCCTTAGGGTTGGCATAAGTCGGAAATGATTTGAAGGCACACAACAAGTCTTGAAGGTACCACAAGACTCCCCTTTACTCATTCACTCCCTTCTTATTATACTGAAACAGACAAATATAGCCATCTCTTTGGAAACTGCAAACTGTACCATTTCCCTTCTACAGGATTCATGTACTGTACTCTGGCTTCAGCTTGATCACCCCACTGAAAGCTGCCTGTTGCTGCCATCTGCTGCATATAGTTTGCAATTCCATGGACAGGGAGGGTGAAGACTAGCAAACATATTGGAGGCATGCATGCCCAATTGATAATTAACTACTAGTTAATTAATTCCCCTCTGAAAACAGAGGAGAAAGGGAGGTTGAGGTAGCTGGAGAAGATTGATCTTATCACTGTGGGATCTTTCACACTAGACAATTATAGAGCACTACATAGAGATTTCCAAACTCAGGTCCTCCAGGTGTTTTGGACTTCAGTTCCCAGAAGCCTAAGCCAACTTGGCCAATGGTATGGGATTCTGGGAGCCAAAGTCCCAAACACCTGGAAGGCCAGAGTTTGGGAATCACTTTATAACACTATCATTACAGCACTTTAATTGCCATGGCTGCGTTCTATGGAATCCTGGGATTTTGTAGTCTAGTAAGGCACTGACTCTGTTGATTGCAAGATTGGAAGGTTGGCAGTTCGAGACCCAGGTGCCATATGATAAGGTGAGCTCCCATCAATTTTCTCAGCTTCTGCCGACATAGCAGTTTGAAAGCATGCAAATGCAAGTAGATAAATAGGTACCACTTTGGTGGGAAAGTAAACAGCATTCTGTACAATCATGCTGGCTACAGGATCACAGAGTAGTCTCTGACAACGCTGGCTCTTTGGCTTAGTAATAAAGATGAGCACCACCCCCTATGATGGTTGGACATGAGTTGACAACCTTTTCAATGGGGAATACCTTTACCTTTAAGGCACTATAGCCTTAAAGCCTGTCATCATGCAGTGCTATGCAATCCTGGGACTTGTAGTTTGTTGTAGCACCAGAGCTTTCTGACAGAGAAGGCTAACTATCTCACAAAACTCAGAATTCCACAGCATTTAGCCATGGCAGTTAAAGTGGTGTCAAACGGCATTATTTCTGCAGTGCAAATGCAAACCAAGTCACACTATTATGAACAGCCCTGTTTGGATTTGCAAGCTCAGGGCCGTGGTGGCTTCCTTCATTTAAGTCCATCTCCCTATAATGTGGTCTTCTTCTTTTCATGCTGAATTTTACTTTACCAAGCAGCATTGAACCAAGCCTGTCCAAAATTTCTTAGCATTACTGAAACGAGACTCTGCACATGCTTAGAGGTACTTGCATTTATGCATTCTCCACTTCCCAAAACAGATCAGGAATCTTGGCTCTAATGCATCAAACTCTAGTTATAAGTCGGAGATTTCTCAGTTCTGGAGCAAAGAATCAACCAAAGATTGGTTTTGTCATCAGTGTTAAACCTTCCATTCCATCGCTCCAGTTAAAAAGAAACCAAATGAAAAGGATCGCAGGGTGTTTGGGGAGAGATTTCCCTTTTAAATCGAAATATGTTCCAGGCAAGGTAAGATTTACAAGTAATGCCTGAGAGATTTTACGTTTTGTGTCTGTTTTTAAAATAAATCAAGTTAAACGTC